CCTCCCTCCTTTCTTTCTTTCTTTCTTTCTTTCTTTCTTTCTTTCTTTCTTTCTTTCTTTCTTTCAAGGCAGGGTTTCTCTGTAGTTAGGAGCCTGTCCTGGAAAACTCTATAGACCAGGCTGGTCTCAAGCTCACAGAGATCCACCTGTCTCTGCCTCCCTAGTACTGAGATTAAAGGTATGTGCCACCACTGCCTGGTTTATGATTACCCCCCCCTCTGGTTTTTTTGAGACAGGGTTTCTCTGTGCCTTTGGAGGCTGTCCTGGAACTAGCTCTTGTAGACCAGGCTGGCATCAAAATACACACAGAGATTCGCCTGCCTCTGCCCCGGAGTGCTGGGATTAAAGGTGTGAGCCTCCACTGCCCAGCATGATTACCTTTTCAATTAATCATTCTCCATTTAAGATTGCAAATCTTTCTTTGTTGTTTCCTTTCTTTGTCTTTATTAATTTTATCCATCATTACTTATAAACATTTATTTCTTTATTCCAATTTGGATCTAGTAAATTTTCCAGTTGCTCATTAGTTACTCATTTGAAATCTAGAATTTTCTCCTGTTTGTAATTCACCTTCAATACTGAATTTTATTTTTAATCTGATAACATGTTCTTTTAGTCCTTAATTTACTTAGTATTTCTTTTACATTCCATGTCTTTGGTTGGTACTTTGCGATCACGTATCACTTTATAACCCTGGATTGCTTGGAACTCTCTATATAGACAAGACTGGTCTTGAACTCAAAGCACCTGTCTGCCTTCCTCTGTGCTGGGATTAAAACTGGACTACCACTCCCCCTCTCAGTTGTGTTTTAATGTTTGAAATTTATTCTTTAGTATTTTGAGTTTGTGTTATTTAGGGTTCCCCCCCAATTATTAATTTCCCTTAGACATTTGAGGCAGGTTCATGCTTTGTGATCCAGGCTGGTGTGAACTTGTATTGTTAGTTCCTCAAATGCTAAGATAACAGGTGTGCTACTCCATACCCAGTTAATGCAGTGCTGGGGGATGGGACTGTGGGCATCATACATGCTAAGCAAACATTCTACCAAATGAGCTATATTTCCAGCTCCTACTTCAAAGTCTTTATTGCTTTGTTATGTTATCTGTAATTTTGGAATAATGTTTAATGACAAAATAGTATACATTTTAAGGGCCTTCAGTTTATAATTCAGTGTTTAATTTCTAAGAATTTGTTGGTTTCTGATGTCTTTGTGTTGACAGG